GAGCAAACAAAAGCGTCACGAGAGATGGCGTTAAACTACATCATGTCTCAAAGCACATAACGTTACAATAATAATAATAAGCAACCAACTTAAAGAGCCCTGACCTGTACCACCTGACTGCAGCAGATTCATTTTGCCGTCGAAAGTGCTGTTATTGAAATGCTTTGCTTTGAGTATAACGTCACAGGTTTCCATCTCTTCCAAATGACAGTAGTTATGGCGTGAACGCAGCAAAAGCACTTTATTTTGGTTCTACATGGACTTTAAAAGGTGGCTGCTGTTTCGGTTGTGGTGCTCGGTGACTGACGTCGCCTTAAACGTGCTGATGACGCATGATGTCTGGGCGAGGAGGGTGCACAGACTGAATGCAATCATTAGACAAACATTTTATGTTCCTATTCCTTCCATAGACACTAAATATACCTTTAAATACATTTAGACCACTTAACTTAGCAATTGAGACTTTCAACCAGCTTAACAAAAAAAAAATGTTTCTGGAAGAAACCACCTACCCTGCCTTTAAGCTCAATCTACAGCATTTTGAGGCATTATGTTGATTACGGTTTAAGAGTATAGCTACGTAACATAAAAATGTGCGTTAATATGATTTAAATTGAGTGTGAAAATCACTTAATAACCTAATTTACAACTTTTTTGTTTTGACAACCTAATGCCATAAACCGCAAAATGGTATAAACGATTGAAACAGCTTTAGAGCTCAAATAATACACGACTTTTAACAGATATAATTTGTCTTAGCTTATTTCTGCTTGTAAATCCTGACCTATTCACTTTCATTCTGAAAGTCTCACTACAACCTTGGTTTTAACCTTTTTTTTTTTTTTTTTTTTTTTGCTATACCACCAATACTGTCAATTGAGGTTAACTTGTATTGGACCCAGTATGTTTCTTTGAGATTGTTGCAAGATTGTAACGTAAATGTCTCCCTTCGCAGCTCCTGCCAGAACTGGCAAACCCAGACGAGCTGCTGTCATACTTAGACCCTCCTGACCTCCCTAGCAGCAGCAATGACGATCTGCTTTCCCTCTTTGAGAACAACTGACTTCCTTCAGTCGGCCTTTTGCAGAGGGCCTAATTTGTTTGGCTGTCAGGAATCGAGAGGCACCTGAAGACTGACTCTGTACTTTACAAACAGGAAACAGCCATCCTTTTGCCTCTTCCTCGTGTAAATATATCTCACTCTTTTACAAGCAACCTTTTCCACACATATAAGGCAGCCATGTTGGTTGGCACTAAAGTGATATCTTTCAATACTAATGGAAATACATGTGCAGCTATAATCAGTTCATATGAATATGTCACACAGAACTATGTGTGTGCTCACTAGGAAAGTATTGTAGCATTTTTAATTCAGATTGTTTTCCTTTTGTGAAAAGAAGACCTGAATAGAAAAAAAACTAAATATATATATATATATATATATATTTCTTCCTGTACCGGCCTCTGTGTGTCCGCAATCTCTTGAAGGTTTGTTCTTCCAAGCTACGTATACCACCACGGCTTCCCAAATCCCCATCAGCTGGATGTCCACACTGTTTTTTTGTTTGGTCCATCGCCCTTGAAAAAGCACAAGAGAATGCGTCAAACTGCACCTGGAAGCCTGTAAAGGAGACAACAAAAGGGAAGAAAGCTTATCTCGCAATCACCAGAATGATCTAACCCTCCCATCCCAGAGACTAACGATGGGAATTTTGCAAAAGTCCTCCAAACTCTCACGCCACAGGACACAAGAATGTGTCCTGTTCTGGTACACCGCGCAGCTTTGCACCTCATTTTGTAATGTGATTCATATGTCCAGCACCTTCAGACATATGCATCATGTTGTAAGCAAATGCTTGAGGGCATCACGGCATGCATTCTTTTCCTGCTCGAGACATTTCAGCACTGTACCATATCATTGTGCATCTTCCGACAGACTGTTCCTCCTCCCGCAATGTCCTGTGGATTTTCCACTCTAGCGGTCACAGTGCAAGAAGAAAGCAATTCACATTTCAAAGGGTAGTCAGTCTTGTGTCATCTGTCTTCTCTGTGAGTTCTCTTCATGCACGAGGCTTGGTCGTCGTAGGCCCTTGATGTTTGTACCCCCTTTTCTGAGAAACCTCATACAACGTTGAAACATTCACTGTTGCCAATCGCCCCTTATTTTAGTGATTTTTGTTTTCTTTCTGTTCTGTTTTTATTCAGCCTTTTATTCATGAACTGTCTTGTTAAAGTTTTGTTTTATAATGCACAATATATTGTTCATATAATTTGTGTTTCTGTTGTTACAATTGTACAAAATATGTACATTTATCACAAGATGTCCATGGAAAACCAAAGTTATGCACCCTGATTTGAAAAGGTGGCCCATTTTTAAATTGTTACCCATAGAATTTGATCTAATTTGTCAAACTTTTATCATTTTGTTTACATGTAAAATCATAGTTATTATACAACAAACAATGAAGAAAGTGTTTTTAGAATATGTTCTATATTTATAGATTTTACTTTTTAAATTCAATTATATAATTAAGCTATACATTATCTCAATACCCATAAATGCATTAGCCAGTGCATATAATTATTACAGCGACTGTACATTTCAGTAAAACTTTTGTAACAGCAGCTCAGTGAAGGCTAACATTGTCCATGTATACAAGATGGATTTTTTTAATGATTTTTTTTTGTTTGTTTGTTTTTAAATTAAAACAGCCCACTCAAATAATTGTCAGTATTTATGATATTTGTAATAATGACATTTCCATGATACTGATGTTACTCAAAGACTGTTGAAGAAAGCTGACATCTAAATACTGTTTGGGATGTGTTTTTGTTGTTGAAACATCACCATTTGAAACATGTTTCCATTTTAAGTTATTTTTTTATGAATTGCAATATTAGTTTTTAGAGGTTTTTTTTTTGTCTGTTCTTCTTGGTGTAGAATTATGTAAAAAACAAAAAACAAAAGAAAAAGATGAAAAAAAAAAGCTGTTTGTCGTTGACAATTGAAATACTTAGAACTCCAACAGGAAAAGTGGGTTCAAGTTCTATAGCGTTTGTCTGTAGTTCACTTGTATATCCTTTTTCAAAGATGCACTGCCACATATTCGTTCCCACTTTGTAGACATAAATAGGCATAAACTGAACTTTAAGACTCCTAAAGTTGTCGGCTCTGAGCTGTCACATGCTATCGATGTACAGTCGTCGAAGAGACAGTGGGTGCTGAGGCACGGACAGAAGGGGTTGAATGACTTAGACTGTGTTCACTACTTGGCCACAGGTGAGGGTTCAGAGAGAGTCGAAGGAAAAAAAAAGTGGGAAGGGGCACATTAGGGATGCATGTACATATGTAAATGATAAATAGAGACACGTTAACAGAAATGTATTCATTTTCCCCAGGGGAATGTGCATTGTGTATTTAGAATTTGTAAAGCTTGCATCCTCCCATCAGAATCTAAATTGGGTAAAATGAATCTGTGTTTGTTAGCGTCTGTGGAACCTCTAAGCATTTGTTCACTTTTTGTAAAATATTCATCCCACATGACTGAGGAATTTGGGGAGGGGATAAAAAGAGACACATTTGTTTTACATTTGTGTAATATTTAGCTTATGTGTATTGCTCCATTTCTTGTGTACTTATTAAGGTGCTAGAGAAGATGATGAAGAAAGTCCTGGGGAAATCATTTGGACAACAGGGAACGTGGGGTCCAGGAGCGGTTCCAAAAGATTGTAACCAAAATCCAGAGTTTGTAAAATTTTGATATCATGATCAGGAAAATTCTAAACAAAAATGAGGTACAATCTAAAGTGATTGGCACCAAATGTTGCAGTTGTCTTTGCTTGTACATTCTGTTGTACAATCATTTCATATTCTAAACTGGTCAGAGGAAAAAAAACAACAAAAACTAATTGTGATTTTTAGTCTTGCAAAACTGTATGTAGTTAGATGCTGTGACATCCTAATATTTATCTAATAAATATGTATTCAGATGAAACAACCTTGTAGCGTTTTCTGATGTTTCATTTGGTGTGCATTCATAGCTGTGAAAACCACAGGCTTTAGTTACTGCAAGAAAACGACCACAAAGAGGCAAATGTTTCCCATGGATTAAAAGGCGTATTCAGTGACTTTTAAAGCAGGTTCACTAGAAAAGTTTGTTCAGAGACAGATTGGATATTTTTAGGTCAAATCGTTCTTGTCTATCAGTCATATATTGGAGGTCTATGGGGTCCACCTCAAAAGAGCATGCACAGAGAGGTCCAAATTAAACATGATTCAATGATTGTAACCACAGCCACAAAGCATCCACGCCCTCAGATTACTTGGACGTGGCTGTGGTAACAAGAGGAAAATGTATATAAAAACTGTTCGTTTTCTCACACAAAGCGATCGTTTCGTGTCTTAGGCCATCAATGTGTACTTACATTTACGAGTCATTGAATCATGTTTAATTTGAACTTCTCTGTGCATGCTCTTTGAGGTGGTGACCATAGACCACCATTATATGACTGATAGACACAAACGGTTTGACCTAAATACTGCGGAAACAAAGACACCTACATTTTGGATGCCCTTGGGGTAAGCTTAAACATATCAAAAATTTATTTCAAAGTGAACTATCCCTTTAACAGGCTTTTAGAGTGCTTGGAAATCAGCGAGAATGATTTGTTCACTGAAAAAACAAGATTCGTTAACGAGCTGTGCAATCTCAAAGTCGAATCATGCGCTAAGTAAACTAAAAAGTTTAGCAGACGTTACAACCCTAGCTGAGCCAGCAATAGTTAATAGCTTTTCTCGTAACAAAGTCTGTGATTAGACTAGCGTGATTAGACTTGCGCGGAGAAAGTAACATAATAATGTGAACGGTTTCCTTAAAAGAACTCAAAAAATAGGCTAATCGAATCAAAATGATACTTCCTTCTGTTGACTCGTCAGACCACATGGTGTCGCTGTTGATTTTAACTTGACAATATTATGGCTCTCTTTGCTTTGACCATAGAAGAACATGTTATTGTCACATGACTGTGGCTAAACCGTGAACGCTGATTATTGCATCTATTCGTTGATGGGTTTACAACACCACAGCAAGAATGTTACAACTGAAAAATCGTTTGAAATATTGCTCTGTCGCAATCGCTGCTAACCGACTGGTTTCAGGGCCGAAGAAGAACCCTATGGTGTTTATGGACATTGCAGCTGACGGCGATCCCATTGGAAGAATTATTATTGAGGCAAGTCATGATTTATTAAAGCTGAACAGTACCAAGTTATTAGTCATGTTACATAAAAGCATGAAACGGAGACTGAGAAGTCGAAATGAATATAAAAGTTGATGGTGCAATGAAAAGAGTGAGGGAAAATGAAATTATTATGTTTTTGTCGGCAGTTGTTTCTGTGGCACATTTTATAAATAATCGTGCACACTTTATTTTAAAGTGAATAATAACTAGTACTTTAGGGTTAGGGTGTATTTTAGGATTAGTTGCATGAAATTATGCACGATTTACAAATAGATAAACTTTTGTTACGTGTAAGAGGGACACTGTAAAATAAAGTGTCACCAATGATCTTATTATTAAACATACTAGCAATAATAAAAAAGTGGTTGTTGTTGTAAATTTTCTGAATGCCGGTTTGTTATTTGCAGCTGTATGCTGACGCTGTACCCAAAACGGCTGGTAAGCAAACATGGGTTTTCAGAGTGATTTTAACTAAGTCATGAATATAGAATGTAACATCAGAAAATACAAAAGAAAATGTACAATAAAAAACAGAACGTTCAATATAAACTATATACAATATATAATGTGCAATGATTAAAAAAAATAATAATAAAAATTCCACAATTTAATGAAGTAGATCAGTTCTCATGGTTGTCTTTCAGCAAATTTCCGGGCCCTCTGTACAGGAGAGTATGGCTTTGGATACAAGGGTTCGGATTTCCACAGAATCATCCCTGAGTTCATGTGTCAGGTAACTATTAGTGCTACTGATCATTTAGCATTGCTTTGACTTGTTTATATATATCTTAAAATGTCATATCTCTCTGTGTTTTTTATTGGTTATGTTTTGATCCTAAGGATATCTAATTATTGATGTTTTGCTGACAGGGTGGGGATTTCACAAATCATAATGGCACCGGTGGAAAGTCTATTTATGGAAAGAAATTTAGCGATGAGAATTTCAAGCTGAAGCACACTGGACCAGGTGATGTCACTACTGTTTTGTCATAAAAATAGAGGGTTAAAGCTGATATTACAGCTTTTGACTACACATGCAGTCATAGAAAAATGTAGCATTTCTGTGTTGATTTTAACAAAAATAAATAAATCAAAAATAATCAAATGTAAAATTTGTTTTCGGTAACAGGTCTGCGGTTACTAGTCTCATAGTACATGGTAGCTGATTCCAGAATATTTAATAATGCATTGAAAACTTTATGACAGTCCAATTCTCTGGAGATCCAACGTCTTTTCAGCTAGACAATGGCATCCAATTCCTCTGGGATCTGATTCAGCACAATTTCATCATTATGAGCATGTGAAAATGTGCAAAAAAAAAAAAAAAACCCTGCATGTGCACATCTGTTTAAAGCCACAAGGTGGTGGTAAGGATCCCTCAGTTACAGAAACAGATTTTGTAATCTTCAAACAAATGACCTACTTTCTAAGCAGGTCAAAGCTAGCATATTGTAGTGCATATTTGGTGCCAGGGGGATCCTACACCAGCACACCGTCTTGATGGATTAATATGGGCAAATAGTGTTGGGTTGTGTAATACACAACTGGATGTAATTGTAGTAGAGAGCCGTAACTTACCCAACCCAGATGTTGTCTTTCATCCAGAACCCCCTGCTGCTTTTCAAACTCTTATTTTCTTATTCCTTGGTTTTTATTGTGGAACTGTTGATTGTTAGATTTTGCCTGAATCTCTATATCATTAAATTATTTAAAGTGACAAATTTGCTTATATAAAGCATGCAGTAGGTGGTCTGATTCTCTCTTTCTCGTGTACTGTACTGTAGGTGTTCTGTCTATGGCAAACTCTGGGCCCAACACAAATGGATCCCAGTTTTTCATCTGCACTGCAAAAACAGAATGGTACGCTGGTGGAGAGGTGATTTAATTATTACCCATCCCAAGTGTTTTCATTTTTTTATGGGATTGATGTTCCTGGCGTTCTCTTTTAGGCTCGATGGCAAGCATGTTGTGTTCGGGCAGGTCAAAGATGGTATGGACACAGTCTCTCTTATGGAGTCCTATGGCTTACATGATGGAGGAACTGTAAAAAAGATTGTCGTTACAGACTGCGGAGAACTCAAGTAACCTGGGAAACATCTGTTCATTTTAATATGATCAAACTTTTTCATGACTGAAACTGCTTATGCATGTGTTTGGAAAAGAAATGATATATATTTGTTTTCTACATTTATGTTACCTACCTACTTATTGCCATTTTAATTTGTCAGTCTGTGGATTCATTAAGGTGTTTTATGCTTGCTAAGTAAGCAAAAGACTCAGTAAGTATGGTTATTACTTACCCCTAGACAAGAAATCTTGCTTATGGGTCAAATACTATGGGCCATGAGCAAATTTATACTGTTAAAGCTATTTTATAAAGGCTATATGGAGATTGTTTATCTTTTAAAATCTATGCCAGAGAAACCCCAAGAGGTATTTTAAGTAAATAAATGCACATGAAACTGGTTTTGACATATGGAATTTCTTCCAGGATATTTGCGTCCTGTGCCCATTTTTTTTTTTTTTTTTTTTTAATGACTCAAGGCTGTTTTCCAGATGAGGGCCGACTACAACTGTAGCAGTATATCTAGTTGCGTGGCATGCTTTTTAAATCTTCCCGAGAATGATCCCAAAACTTTTTTTTAGACTCTATCCAGCGACAAGATTTCCTGTCCCCCTAAAGCAGGATATGACATCCTGTTTGGCAACGAAACATCTCCACCTTCAATGTTAAACTTTGAATCTTCTGAACATGTTAATACAAAAGAGACACTTGGGAATACAAGTTTGTCAGATGTATTCCATTATAACTGCAGCCAGCTGACATCCACATACCCTGAAATGAAAATGAGCATTTCATTTTAGACGGTGTGTAGGTGTAGCTTATCACAGTAATGCCTTATGAAAGTAAATTATGAACCTTTGTGGAGAACAGTGCTCTCTCCTAAATGAAACCATATGGGGTCTGAACTCGCAACTGATTTGTTTGACTTCTCCGATTGCACTGTTGCTATAGAGACATTCTCATTCCCTTCTCTGTTTTAGTCTGCATTGTTGCAACAAACTTGATATAATTTGGGTCTCCACCCTCTAGTGAAGTTTAAGGGATTTGGAATGTGTAGACCAATTACTTAAAGTTGGCTTCAAGAGTAAAGCCAGCCCCATCGCCAAGTCCTAACCTTCACATACAGCGCTCATGTGTTTACAATCATCACAAGTAATTAGGTTGAGTGAAAAAAAAATAAAAAATACACATCTGTGTCTTCAAACCTGTGCTGTTGCAAAGACCAGGCAAACTCTAAACTTAAAGAAACGCCCCTCGATAAATGATTGTGTTGTCAGAATGACAGCTGTTCCCCCACGGTTTCAGACTTTGGTTTTCCATTACACAAGCACCATTCCCAAGGACCATATCTAAATAATTAATCAGTCCATACTGCCTTTGCCTGATTCAAAATGGACACAATTTCCCAACACCCAGAGATGGGCCAAAGAATAGGGCTGTACGTATATTTGCAGGGCTTAAAGTATTCTGGCACCGTGCGGCCGTGAGGAAAAAATTATTATTTTCGCATGCGATTCATTTTTGTCCAGCTTTAACGTGTTAAAATATTTAACGCAATTAACGGAGCATCTGTTCTTCCTGTCATTCTTTAGCTACGGTTATGACCATGCTCTTATTTATGGAAATGCTTAAAGGGATAGTTCACTTTGAAATTAATTTTTGATATGTTTTAGCTTACCTCAAGGGCATCCAAGATGTAAGTGTCTTTGTTTCCACAGTATTTTCAATTTTGATATTTTTCGGTCAAACCGTTGTTGTCTGTCTCAAGAAGATCAGAGAAACTTTTTTTTTTTGCACCGAAAAAGTCGACAGGGGTACCCCTGTCGGTTTTTTTCCTGTCAAAATTTTGAGTTTCTCTGATCTTCTTGAAACTCTGGATTCTGATAGAGGGCCATGAGACTTAGACCTGAGTGCAAAAATGGAGTCTCTAGACCCTCCCAGAGCTGAGATATGGACATCCCACATAGCATTTATGCCATTATAAAAACTAGTGCAAAATGCCCGTGCAAAATAATTTTTTTTGTGTGTGTTTTTAGCAATTGTT